TTATTACAACATGTAAAGCATCCACTGTAGTTTAATCTTACTTCTGTGACCCATCATCTGGATGCAGAAAATACAATTCTATTTACTCCTAATGCATTGTTCTACACAAGCAGTTAAAAGTGAAATAAATAACAATTTTAAAATATATATTTGGTTCTCATTGGGGCCAATTATAATTAGTGTGGAAAGAATGTGGGCACAAGGAAATATAACGACATGAAGGAGCATAATATATCTAGTATTCACCCAATTCGTCATCCGTCTCCAGCGAATACCCATCAAAGCCTGTGTGCTCATAACTTAATTACAAAATCACAACCGGCAAACGGCCTGAGATATTTTCACGCATTACTGCAATCACAGCAGAAGAGTCGACAGTTGTTTTTATTATTGAAAACATGCTAACTTGAGCTTTGCCTGAGGAGTGGAGAGGTTTGCCACTGACTGCGACTGTTTGTTTGGTTTCTAGTTTTAATATCACAACTATAATATACTGTTACTCTTTAGTTCCATTTCTTTGTTACTTATTATATTATTTAATATTGCATTTTTCTAATTCAGTGTCGCTCACTTTTCTCAGCCTTTCTCTATCCTGTGCAGTGAAGCACATAGAACACAGAAAGGAGGGTTCTGGCAAGAGTAGGGCAAACTGACCTTCCTCTCAATGCGAATTATGAGTGTGATCTGGCCAAATCCCCACAGAGACTACGTTTCCACTTCAAAAGAGTGGCTGTACGCACCCTGAATACTGCCAGCCCGCAGAAAAGCCATTCAGACACTCAGAGGACCTGCAATAAACCCTGGGACTAATGGTGCTCAGATGATTCCAACACTGAGAAGTGAAAGTGTTCACAGCTTCTGCAAATCCAAACTGTGAGTGTAAATTACTGCTGAATAGATTGGTTATTATCATTTAAGGCATCTGTCAAGCAGAAAATGCCAACCATTCGCTGGTTCTAGCTTTTAAAATTTAAGGATTTAATGCTTTTCTGAGTTTTGTGTTATTGTAAACTGAATATTTTGGGTGGGGGTTGGATTCGATTTAACAAGCAACATTTGAAGACAACTTCTGAAGTCCATTTTCCTCATCTTATACACTACACTTCGATTAATGCTTTGTTGCAGCACCAATATTAATCACCACATATCACAAATTGTAGAATCTAGACAACGAGGGAACCCCAGGGATAGAGAAGAAAAGGAAAATACCTAGATAAATAACGATAGGAAAAAAAGACAGAACTACAAGCTACTGTTTTCAAACACAGCAACAACAGATTGAACGCCAAAAGGCAAATTCCTGGAATGATAGAGCATATGAGGAGCAAAGGTCAAGGTCTGAGGTGCAAAGTTCAGTGCGGTCGTTATCAATAAAGACCTCCTGCGAGCGAGGAGCTCCTCACCCAAAAAAAAATTAACGAGCCTTTGAGTCATTCCATGATTTGTGCACAGATCCAGCAGTTCGTGATTCGCACTATGTTTAGAACATAAACAATACAGTGTGGGCTGCAGAGGAGAGAGCATGACATGCACTGTTTTATCTGAAGCCAACTCCTAATGCATCTACTGATGAGCAGAGATATTACATGAAGAAGAAAAGAAATATGGCCTTCGCTTCACGGCTCAGTTTATTGTAATTAAGAAAACACACTCTTGCTGTGTTCAATTGGAGCACAAATCTTTTTTTTTCTCCCATACAGTTAGGTTTGGATGTTGGCAGGGGCGAGGGGTGGGAAAGTGGAGGGTGGGCGCTTAGAAGGCAATCAAATTTTCTTTGATTTGCTTGAGTTCAAGGCCTCATGAGAGAGAGAGAGAGAGAGAGAGTGAAAGAGAGAGAGAGAGAAAGAGAAAGAGAAAGGACAGGGAGACAGACCTGTCACTTTAAGCCATTAAGTCTCGCTATAAAACTGCACCAATAAAAATGACAGCTGCAGCCGCTTTTCTCAAAAGGGGAGCAAAAGCATCACATCAGGAACACAAAACTGGACGGCCGTAAAAGACAAACTTCGCCAAATGCTTTTGGCGGTGTAATTCCACCAGCCCACTCCCACCACACACACACACACACACCCCTCCCGGCAGACACATACCCTCTCCCTGTATTACCTTTGTTCCTGAGTTACTGCCAGAAAAGGAATGTGTCTCTCCCACACACACATACAACAGCATGAATCTCACTTTCTCATCAAAGACCATGAACTTCATTGATTTTGGGAGTGAGTGTCTGTCTGTGTGTGTGTGTAGGTGCGTGTGTGTGGCGAGGGTACTTTATGTTTCCCTAAACACAAAGCACCACAGAGATTCAGGAAAAACAACACACACACACACACAACTCTTTAGCAGGTGGTAAAACAGGCCTTTAGAGTAAGCAATCAGACACTTTTCAAGCGTTAAATTTATTGTTTTCTATCAAAAGAGTTTTATGTTTGTGTAAAAGTCTAATCGTTGTATCATTTGCTTAATTTGCTCAGTGTTTTGTGTTTTTTCATTACACATCCACTAGCTTATTGGTGTTTATAACTGGTTACTATTTCCTAAACCCTGTATTTTTGAATAAAAATATTTTTGAACATAAACTGTTTTATTCAACAGTAAAAGTAAAAATTTGGATAAGGAAAAGCTCTAAATCAATAAATCCATGTGAAACAATTACTAGGGGAAACAGCATAAAGAAGAACTACTTAGGTGCTGACATGTTTGCCACAATAATTAACCAAACAGAAAATCAACACCTACAAAAAAAGGTTTTTCGGCCCAGTCCTGCTCAAAAATCCTCCTTCCCTTTCACAGCCACGTTGTTTAATTCACTGACAGACTGTCACGATCCGCCTCATAATGCTCTGATAAAAGGGCACATTCCCCTTTCAATGTCACCCCTTCAGTCTTCATAGCTTAATGTCAGATATGGAGGGGGTGGTTGATGGTGGGATCAGGCAGCACATCAGCATACAGTACTGAGCATACGGTGCCAAAGGGGGATGTCGTCATCACAGCCAAAAACCAATCTATAATTGTGAAATGTACTGGCTGTCATTTTAAACAGTTGCATGTCAAAGTTTCTAATGCAGCACGACAGATAATTACACTGAGTAAGCGGCTAATCGATACGTTCAAGGACTTCAGAGATAGCAGCGTCCTTGAAGTGGCCAATTAACAATCAGCACTCAAGTGGACCTTTGATGGAGCAAGTTTAAATATAAATGGCGATTTAAGGACCGGCAGATTAGGACCATAGGCGATGAAAAGGCTGCTGATACAGCATGTGGTGTGGCCGGGAGGAAAAGATGAGATCCAACACTGCTGGAAAAGTGTTCCTCCTCATTTAAACAATGAAATGTTAAGCCGTGCACCAACCACAGAGGCTTTCAGATAAGATTGTGCTGCCTGTATGATGCTGTCAAGTGTCTGCATGGGCTACTCAGGTGCACATGTACTCAGGCTGAAACTTGAATCACTTTCAGTGTGGACACACAATACGGTGCACCTGTAATAACAGCCCTGTCAGTGTGTATAACACTGGCGGTTTGGAGTATTTCTGAGAAGCCACATAAAGGGCGTTGTGGTGACAGTGTCAGTGAGCAGGGCCTGTAACAGAAGGAAGCCGCCCAGTGTCTCAGAAGTCCCCGTCAATCTCCACGGCACATCCGAGGAACTGATGATACGTGTCGAGGTGTAACGCGATGCCCTCATGAAAGAGCAGCAGACACAATAAGAGGGCTCCCCTACAGCTCTGTGCTGTATCGCTGCTGCAGGGGACAAGAGTCTGCACTGTTCACTTTGACAAACTCACAGCAACATTCAGCATTAATGATTTACAGTGCAGTGTGGCTGTGGGAGACAGTGCGTTTAAACTGGAAATTAAACAGGCTCCCTTAATAAAAAATAATGAAGAGTCCCTGAGATTAATGGTTTCACAGCTGAGTAGTTCATAAACAAAATTATTGTTTTTCTTTTTCTGGAAATTCAAACATGACATGCGTTAGATTACTTTTTATCCTACTCTATTTTCTGTGGTCTCAGAAATGACAATACACAGAGATCCTAGAGCTGTTACACCTGTCTGTCACCTGTTTGTGACTTTGGTGAAGTTGGCCTTCATCTTTTCTTAAGCACAGTCTTAGGAGAAAAACCTCAGACAGTCCTTAGTAAGTCAAGCAGCTTTGTTGGAACACATCGCAAAGTTTAAATCACAAACGTCATGCTGCTTGGATTCAAATTCAAACCACTAGCTTCACATTTAAAGTCAAAAGGAAGTACATTCAGCCGCAAGTTAAACCAAGTCACGTGAACAACAAGAAAGCTTTACAAAAAAGTGTGTCTTTATTCAGAGTTACCTGGTGACTTTAAGAAAACACACATAACCTGTGCACAACACACACACACACACTAGGTTAATGCAGACAACACATGCTAAAAAAAGAAAACTCCATGGTTCAAATTCAACAGTTTATTGCAATATTTTGTGTTCAGCCGAACTCGTTAAAGCGCCAAGCAAACGCTGAAGCAACTCACAAAGCTTCATCTCGGCGTGCACTTTCCCTTTGTGGGACTGACATGAATCACATGAAAAGGGTTTTAAGCGAACTTCAAACAAGTAAACATTTAATTGCAGCGCACGCGGGGTATGCGCGCAGCTTATCCCAGGCGAGGTGTCACTCCGTATCAAAGCGAAATGTCATCAGCTCGAATGGCAGCGCTGGGCACATGCAACACACACACACACACACACACACAAGAGGAAATGTCTGCTTTCATATTAGAAGAAACCACAAAGTCTTCGTTAGTCAAATTAAAAGACGGCTCTGTTATACAGCTCGTCGGCGGATCTAAAACATGTTGCTGCAACTCGCTCCACGCGCTGTCAAAAGGAGAAAAGGGGGCAAAAAAAACAAAACAGCGCGAGGGCACAATTCACACTAATTTGCCGACGAAAAGTCCTATCAAAAATCCATCACATTTATAACACAGCAAGGTGTTGTCATTAAACAAAACAAACTTACCCAATGACAAGAACGGTTTGGTTTCCATGTCTGCCTGGTAGGTTAGCTCATGCCAGCTGAGACGACCGCGTTTGGGAGTTCTTCACTGGCGGCTGCTCGACCAGACCAGGGCGCTGCTGCTGCTGCTGCTGCTGTGGTTGTGGTCCTCCTCTTCAAGTATACGGGGACTCGGCACGAAGCGGCAAAAGTGACAGGTCGATGTCTGATAGTCTCGGAAGATAACCTAATGTTTCTGCCTCTGTTTGTTTCTGCCTCTGTTTGCTCAGCCAGCTGCTGCGCTCACACTCCTCTCCCTCTCGCGCTCGCTGTACAACAACTCCAACTACTGGATCTGCACTGCAAAAAAGGGACCTTTGCAGGGGGTACTCCCACCAACGTAGGCCGAGTTGCAGCGACGCCACAGATGCGCACGGGAGCTTCGAAGTTCCAAGTTAAACAACACAAAAGCGAGGAAACCATGCAGCGCATTTCATGCTAGATATGAAAAGACTGCAGATCCTCCAAGTAGAGGTTTTTGTAAAGCACGTGGAGCCCATTCAGCTGAGCAGCAGGTACTTATTCTTTCCACTTCTTATCTCCTGTTATTTTAACCTGGTCACATCTGTTGAAGCAAGGCTGTTGGCTCAGTGGGTAGATGTTTCAACTGCATTAACAATTAGCCTGTCTCTCTCTCTCTCTCTCTCTCTCTCTAGAAGCTGCTACAACAGAAGAAAATCAAACACACTCACCTACTTTAGAGGTTTGATAGCATTTTGTCCAGTGTAAATCTGAAAGAATGTATACCAGAACTATTAAATCGTTTAAAAGTTTTGATAAAGGAGAAATAATCTAAATTATGTCCAAATAACTAAAACTGCGTAGGCTATTTGCTGTTTATTTAAATGACCTACCTGAATGTTTAGTACATTCAGATTCAGATAAAAAACGTTGGAAATTTGTTCTTTTCTAATGAAACTAAATTAATATATAAATAAATAAAGAGTTTTCTGACCCTCAAACAAATCCATATAGGCTAATGAAATGGCAAATTATAATGGCTAACATAACTCTTTCCTAACAATGAGATATTGTGTTTATATTGGGTTGGGTAAAACAACCAAAAAAGTTAATCCAGACCAAGAAAGTTGTGCAAGATAAAATGTTACACAGTTACAATACTGTATCAATATTTTCAACTCCCCACTCTACATCTGCTAATGTTTACTACATTCATACTGTGATCTGCCAACATGGCACAAAAAACGAGAGAAAAATCTATGAATTTGTTGCAGATGCATAAAAGTTTGAGGCAGATTCAAATGAGACCCCCACGGCTAGTTTTCCAGTAAGCGGCAGCACGCGCAATTTGCATAACTCTCCATTAGCATTAGAGCAATGCTAGATCTGGATCTCTGTCATTGTTCCTGCTGCTAAAGCTGTTCTGGCCATGACTTATAAATGCCTAATTCAAGCCACATCCATCTTGTGTGCACCTCCTCCGCATCAACACTCAATCCTGCACGTGTTCCAGGAGAGTGAAAAATGTCCCAGACTGGAGGAGAGTACCACAGATGCAGGCTTTACATCTCGTCCGTACTGTAAAAAATCCCTTATGCAGTGCATATAGGAGCGATCCAATGCATACATAAGCCTCCTGCAGCCATCCTCTAGGCCCCTGTGATGAGCCTGCTCCAATTAAGCACTGGAAGGTGTTCGCCGCGTTTGTACCGAGGCAAGATACATAATTAATGCGATGCATGGCACATCAAAGATCAAAGGCACTTGTGCAACAAAAAAAAAAGAGTAAAGTTAAGTCTGACTGGGCACTGATTCAAGGTGTGTTTCTGTGTAGGTGTGCAGATGTGTGAGGAAAGAAAAGAAATGAGTCCTGCGGATGGCTGATTATTCCACTCAAGGCCGTGCTTTTGTGTGAATATTTCCTTCATCCATCTTGCAAGTAAACATTTATCAATCATCAGACGGCGTCATGTTAGCGCTGTGATGTTAAGTGTCTTAATTGACTGGGTAAATGCTCATCAGAGGGAGGGAGGGAAACACAGCGATTGGACATCCTATTTGTCCTCGGTTCGGGGGGGCTGTTTTGCCTCGGGCCTTCACTCTGTAATAGAAGACAGACACAACATGGCCTTTTTAAACACCTCGATCAGGCCGGGTTCTCTCATCTGCCCACTAGAACGAGCCATTTAATCCTCAACTTTGGCTATGATTAATAGTGGTCTGACCCTTCACCTCCATCTATATAAATTCTCAGGAGGCCTTTTTGGCTCTTCTCAACGCCTCACACCTCTGCTCGCAGAGGTCTTGAGCCTGTACTTAACTCTTCATTGTGATATCTCTTGGCTCAGTTCTGTCTTTTATTATTGTTCTCTTTTTCCATGTTTTTCTCCACTTTAAGCAATGTGTTTGGGCCTCAGGAGATGTGAGACCACCGTTACGATACACCCTGCTATGGTTGCTTTGACAGCCGACCTCCTCCTCTTTCTCCCTCTCTTAAAGTGGGTGATAAATGGGACAAGGGCCTTTTGCTCTCCTTTGTACTTTGACCATTCACAACAAGCCCATCCGTAAAAGCGATTATGGCCTCTTTCAGTGGCATTGACAATGGTTTCCAATCCTGAGGAATGTACGGATGAATATACACTGCAATTTTTGTCTGATTAATTGTTTAGTCAATACAGTGTCTAAGGTGACAACTGCAAATAGCCTGTTACATCCAACCAACAAATTGGACAAACTGGACTTATTTGCTTAATAAATGACTTACGCAATTAATTAATTTTCAAAACTGTTGTATATTAATCAACTAATCGTTTTAGCGCTACTGGAATCCAATTTAAAGGAAGTTTTTAGACACGTAATTGATTTCCTTTTTATTGGGAGGCCATTTTGTTTTGTTGATTCCACTTAAATGTGGACATGACTGAGGGCTGAGGAAGAAGGTGTGCTATGAGGAACACAAAAGCATGTGAGATCATTAGGGCGTTTGCTGAGGTGTTCAGCATTGTCCACCCCGAGGGAAGGTCTTGATCGTCACAACCCCCGGGTTCACATTCCTTAACCCCAGGGTCAGGGCTTTGTCTGAGGATAGCACTGAGGCAACTTCCCCTGCGGAAATCAACAAAAGCTGACACACTGACCGCAGGAGACGCACACAGAGGCAGGAAGAGGGACCACCACACACACAGAGGCACATGCATGATCGTAAACGTGGCAGTTTTGTCTAAAAACCGAGAAAACTGTGAAAGCGTGAATGTGTTTGAGGAGCATTAAATGCAAATCACATTGAGTGCATCAGAAATTACAGTGATAATCTCTCATTGCACAGGAAAACTGTGGGAGTACAAAACATCGCCAAGTATGGATAGGAAACCACCTTCCAAGAAGACTACCGGTAAACTGTGAGGAATGTTTGCATTGGACCGTTCACCTTCATTTTCTATATCAAAAGACTTCTTTTCATCTCAGCAATTAACTTGATGAGCAAAATGTAATTATCACTGATAGCAGTGAGGGCCAAATCCACAAAAATAAGACCCAAGTTGTAAAAAGCTGTACTAATTCTTTAAATGGAGACCAAGTTGAAAAATCTGCAGTGCATTACCTCAGAAAAATAATAATAACTTTCTGCTGGTATTTTTGTGTTGTACCGAAATGAATGAAATGCGATGGATGTCTGGAAAGGGAGAAAAAATACATCAAAACTATAATAATTTGTATTTGTAGCAGACATGTTTTAGACAACATCTTTCTTCAGGGCCTCTAACATGTTTTTTTTTATTCTACAAAGTGAAAATGAAAACATAAACCTGGTAAACATAGATCTCTGAAACAATTCCTGTTTTCGAGTGACATGCCCACAAAGCATGTTTTCACCTCATATGCAGAGCGGCACTCTGCTCTGCTCTGTTTTCACAGATTTCACTTCATTGGAGGTGATAAGAGCTATGTGGATATCTGCCCATCAAATTGAACTGATGGGCAGCGTGACTCCAGGCGCGGGGCCAAGAAATGGTAGTTTGAAAAAAAAACGCACAATATTTTCCTAAATGATCAGAGCCCATTCCGCTCAGGGCTGTTATCAATATTGAACATTACATCAGCTGTATCACTGACTCGCCATGCTGGGTTTTGAATGCTGCCACGGGCAGACGAGACTCCCTTAACGGGAGCATCTGAAGCAGCGCAGGCATGCATCATTCTTTAATATCATATTAAAGTGAAATTGGCTACATTTAAATAGACACAGCGATAAATCTCGTCAGCACTTGGCAGAAGCTGGTTTTATCGCGGTGGGGAGAATCACCATCTGCAGAGCATCATCTTCTTACCTACGATTGAGTCCAGCATTATTGCACAGTGATGGAGCTACTGTGCTGCTGGAGCCGACAGATTGAGAAGGTGAATTATTGCTGTGCAAAGGGTTGAAGGTGTAGTCAAACATTTTTTTTTGTGGTCCTCTTTTTTTGGTCTGTAGTTGAAAGAGGACAGGCGACGTAAGCACATGAGGGAAGGTTAAGAATAGATCATAGATTTCAGATTCTGATTACTTTTGATTATTTTACACCACAGTCTGTAGGAAAAAAATGCATTTGTGTTGAAAGAACATGTTAAAAATGTTCTCCTCTGTTACTGTCTAGAAAGCACAAGTCAAAGATGGATAAAGTGTCTCCTTCAGAATGTCCTTTTTCCATCAGCAACCCATCCAAACTGAACACTTATTTTTAGCCAGCCTGCCTCCAGTGTGAGAAACTAGGTGCCCGATCACAGCTTTTTATTATCACATCCCTGCAACACCATTAATGTAATCTGTCACTCCACGGACTTTAGTGTAAGTAGGTCTACAGAACATTACATAATATCTGTCTCATCCCAAGCAGAAATAACAGTAGAGCCACCAATTCTGTAGTTTTTCCTGATGTGTGCTGAATGTTTCACATTTCTATGCAGACATTTGTTGCCCAAATGTGCTGGAAACCACAAGTCAAAGCGTTAACCGAAACTGACTAGACTCACTTGAGTCACTAATTTACATTTTACAGAAAGCGTTTTGTTTTGTTTTTTGGCTTACCTTGCGAAGTTCTGCTGCTTTGTGTCAAATTTACCTTTACAAATGACACATTAAGACATTTAATAAAGCTAGGAACCTCAGCATAGCCTGGTCATATCTGATATTGGTCAATTGATGTGTCCTAAGTGACTTCCTTTCCAGTCGGTTCACTACAGCTGGGAGAAAGTGCGACACTGTTGGACTTCAGCTGAGTAAACATTCCCCACCGAGGCCAGAGATCTTGTGTACACACAGGGCACAGCGCACGTTCTGCGAGGGGCCTCGCAGCCGCCACAAGGATGGATGGTCTAACCAGGCCAGAGTCCATGTGGGCACAGCAGTCAGAATATGACAAGAGACCACCCCATCTGCTGAAACCATTAAGCTCTGACGAACAGATACCAGCTCGGGCTAGGCTGTGGTTGTAGCGCTTCCACACCGCTTGCCTCCTTATACACACCCACACACATGTTTTTTGCAAAGATGCATACACACGGTTATGCAATCCTCAGACCGCCTATGAAGGAAATAGACTCGATGGTGCTTGAAAGAGATAGAGAGTGAATTCACTGAGAGGGATTGAGTGAAGTGTGGTAACAGGACACCCACAAGACACCTAAAGACCAGCAGTGACAGTCTCGCACACATGCATGTAAGACCGTAGCTAATGATAAACCTCTGTGATGGCGGATGTGATAGAGATAATTCATTTTCCTTTGCCAAAATCAAAGTCATTTTTCCTGTATTTGAAAGGAGATATCGGGGCTAGTCATTAGTGCCAGTTAGCCCAGGGGATGCAGAGAGTAACTGTGATTTGTCTGTATTAACCCTCCTTACAGGAGCTCATGTTGCTGCTGCCAGTTGACTCATGGATCCTGATATGAGAGGCATAGATCCAAAATTTCTTTGGTTCAGGGCAATTGTTTCAGTGCCCGCCCATTTCGTGTCTTTTTTTGGCATTTCACTTTATTTTGACAGTACAGTTGAGAAAGACAGGAAAGGCAGAGGATAGAGGGGCAATGACATGAAACAAGGGGCTTGGGTTAGACTTATACCCAGAGTCTGCTTTGATACGTGGTACATGCTCTAACATGTCCTCCAAATTAAAGGTAGGGTAGGCAATTTATTTCAGAAGCATTTTTTGTTATATTTTTGTTGAATGTATATTTATCTGTGGCTGTTGCAGGACTGTAATAAGGCTGAATGAAATGATTTGCTGGCCTACCGGCAAATCTAGGTCTTGCTAATTCTCTAATGCTGCTTACCCCAGCTTTAAGTGATGATGGTGCCCTAACTCACATGCGTATATCGGTCTAAAGAATTCCAGCACAAATTGATGGCCTTGATGTGTGGCTTTAGTTTTTATTTTTATTTTAATGTTCGACTGTGGATTTTTTAAAAAGAAAACCAAAGAATGTTTTTCGAAAGGATTTCGTTGGACTTAAGGTCATGTACCTTGCTCAATACACTGAAGATTAGTTTTTTAGTTTTAAACTTTCACAAGTCAAGCCTAAAAATAGAAAAAAGAAAACGTATTTCCAAACTTTTCATGCAAGAACAGCTTTATCTTGTCAGCGGACTACTGGAGCGCCGCCCCTCCTTCACACATTATCTGCTTGTGGACTGTGAGCACAGGGCTGGATGTGTTTGCGTATGTGGGTGTGTGTCTCAGCCACACTCTCACTGTGATTTACAGCTCCTCTCACACTCTCTCCCCTTCTGTCTGCTGGTCAACTGCCATGGTGAAGGCGGTTACAATGGCCGGCTACGAAGAACCATAAATCTGGACACTTCCTACCACTGTCTCCCACTTCAAGGGGAAGCCTGTCCTGTTGCAAACATGATTAACCCTCTTCCTCTCTGTCCACACACCGTCCAACCTCCTCACCCCAACAAGTGGCCATGCTACAGGGAAAAACAGGGCCGTCCTTGATACCGCAGAGGCAGGGAACCCTCCAGATTTGCTAATAAAACATAGCCTTTGTATTGGACCTATAAAGACTGTATGCAGGGGTGGAAATTAACTTTTTGGCTTAACTGCCAAGGTGGCTGGTAGATGAAAAAATCTACTAGCCAAATATATTTTGTACTGGCCAAAATAATAAATTGCCTTCTGTGTCACATATACATTTGTTTCTGTCCTTTTAATTGAGATAATAAGGTATTATGTCAAATACAAACTTAAATTTGAGTCCAGAGTGAAATTTGAAGCAAAATTATATTATTGCTATTAAATGTACTTCACATACAACGTAACAGCAAATTGTTTTAGAAACTTACAAGATGCTTATTAATGATTCAACTTAAATCTCATCACTCTTAACCATGATTCATCACTTTCTACAATCCCTCTCTTCTGGCCTCCTGGAGCCACAGCATCACAGGTTTTGTGGTATCAACATTTTTCATACAGCCTATGGATCATTCTCCTTGATCTCTGAGGAAGACAGCAGGACCATTAGAAGATCTGACAGTGTGTCAGACACTGACTGGACCTCCAACCACCTAGCTAAAAACTAAAAACACTCCTAGAGCAAGTTATTAGCTCCTAACACTTGCAGCTTTCACTTTGCCTTATTTCACAGAAGTATTGCGCCAATCTGGTGTCTTGCTGCACTTTATGAAAGTTATGGAGCAGATTTTATCCTCCTCTGAGAAGGGAAAGTTGGTGACAGACATGAGACAGAAAGACGGAACGATCTGTTTGTGAAAAGCCACAGCCGACGTGCTGCATTACTCTGGTTCCGGTAAAGCCGGAGCGCTATGTGAAAGCACACGTGATTGCGGGATAAAGGCCCTTTCACATGGGATAAAGCTGCAAACTTTTGTTCAGTATGAATAAGTGAATGCGACATAAATGCAGATATTCTTTCTGTGCTGATGTCCATATGAAAGCGGCTACACTCTCACTCTCCCCTCCCGACTCCTGTCGCCTGTCCCCTAACGCCCACCCCTTACAAATCTACTCCAATCAACCACAAGTAACATGAAAAGAACATAAACAACAACCAATGAATGCCCCTAATCCGTGTGGTAAACAATTTTACATACATTGGCACGTCGGGGAACAATTTAAGTGTGACACACAACCAGCAAGAACGCCGGACTTCTCCTATTTAGTGTCAAATAGAAATTACATGCCGAATATATTTACCCACCAATGTGGCATTTGGCCACCAAACGGAAAATCCACCCGCATTTGGCAGGTGGCGGTTGTTAATTTCCATCCCTGGCTATGTGAATAAAAATGAACCACAGTGTAAAAGTAAATAAAATCGTTCAAGCAAGGAGTAACAGTATTCCTCCCCCACAATATGCTTAGTATAAAAGCCATCACTTTTTACTTTAAGTTTTTATGAAAGTGCCTCTCCGTCAATGACAAAGTAAGAAAAAAGTTTTTCAAACCACAAAAGACTTGTTCAAGATGAGTGAAGCGATAGTCCCAGCATGCCAATTTGCAGCTTAGTAAGGAAGCTTGCTTGGTGCAGGGAGGTTCAGAGCAGGAATACAGATGTGTTGTCATTGAGCTGCCTGAATGCATCTATGAAATTTCAGATGAAAACGGGAGGGAGGTGTCCTTCAGTGAACTGTGGCAGCAGACGTGGCTTTAGCTGAAGCCCCAGCTGGTAGTCTGCTCCTACCCAGAAAAGAAAACCCTCCGTTTAAAACACACATGTTAATCCACTCATAATCACCCAAAATACTGGTATATGTTCACCCGCCTTCTTAAACACAAATAGACCGACACAAGCATAAGCATACACATTCTAGTGCGTGTGTGCGCGCACAAACACACACACACACACACACACAAACACACACACATGCATGGGCTCAGAAAGGCCTGCATACCCACACACACTCATTATTCATGGTGAAACACACACAGATGCTTGATCTTCTTGCTGTCAGTCAGGCTCTTATTCTGGGTTCCACTTGAGGACACTGATGTAACATTTTTTGAAAAACATTATATGGCCAGTCAAGCCAAGCCAGACCAAATTCTTCTGAATTGAGGTTGAGTATTAATGTAAAAAAGAGATATTGACTTTTCATGCTTGCTGTTAAATTATAAAGTGGTACAGTTGGCTGGCTGGTCATCAATCATTTGTTATGTTATTCATATAAAAAGGCAGAGGTTTACCCCTGGTGTGTTAATTGACTGGTAAAGGTAGGTGAATGACTATAACTAAACATTTGTTCAGTAGACTAAACTTGCTTGTTGCCTTAATCAAGTGATTCCATCAACCTTTGTATTCCTGCTACTGCAAAACATATTAGCTAAATGGAATACAATCCTTTATTTACTGGAATAGCGCTTTGGTCTGACTTCACCTAATGTCTGGCTTGTGGAGTTGAAGTAATGCTTGATGTTGAAGTACACTGAACTACTTGTAAATGTGAAATATTTCCATACACACACACACACACTCACACAAAACTATGTGTAAGTGAACCTAAAGAAATGATGCTGTTCTGAAGGCAAAGGGTGGTCACACCAAAAATTAATTCGATTTTATTTTTTTTTACTCACTTTGCATTTTGTTAATAAATCTTTTAACGTGTCTATGTCTACACCTGCCTCTTGCACAGTACTGTATATCTATTCTAATTTAATTTTTAACATTATATTGAATCAAATACCTGTATTGTATGTAATTTCTGGCAATGCCAGTCCCACTGACAATCACCTTTATTTTATTTATATTATCATACACATTGCTATTGTGAAAAGTTTATCGAGGAATGTGTGTTAAATAACAAGGCTTATATAACACGATGATGTTAGTAAAACAAACATACACATATATTTATACTTTACATGGGTACTGGTTAAAAATGTGTTAATGCACCGACTAGAACTAAACTTAAATATAAAATGTTGTTAGGAACAACATTGTAATTATGAAACATAAAATATAGTCAGTTTTAATTGGCTCTCTAATGACTGTACTCAAGCAAATCCATTATTCCAGGTTTTAATAGCATGACAAAATAGAAAGTTAACAACCACGTAGAAGTAGTGACTTTATGTGTCACAGACATCCTGATGACTAATCCTCATGTCCTGTTTTCCTAGTAAACAGTTTTCGGTTGTGTGTTGTGGGTGGCAGAGGCATGCATCTCTGAGTGAGTCTCTGAGTGTCTCACAGATGATTCAGCTGAGACTCACTTCCCCCTGTCTTTAACGCCTTTCCTTTTCTAATAGAATAACACCGATGTCATGAGCCCATTAGCCATATAATGATTTACACTAGAAAGACCTGAGAAGGAGCCACCACCTGCTCCCATGCTCTGTTTGCCCCCAATTCCCCTCCCTCCACACCTACGTCTGAAAGCATGATGAGGTCATTATGTCATTATTACAATAATGCCGTCAATGAAGTCTCAACCGCAGGAACAACACCTGTTTGATGCACCCTCAGGGACGTACTCAGCAAGCAGTCAGCATCTTTTATGTATTTATTTTTTTAGCGGAGGGGAAAAAAGTAAATAATTGATGGCGCAACACTATTTATGCAAATCTCATTTCACATGCATCATATGCCCTGCCACGCTTTCTTGGCAGTGCACTGCTGAGATTGCGGGGCAAGTGACAGTGCAGAGGCTTAATATGACTGATTTCCTCTGTAATGATAATGCGATTGAGCACACTGTTTGTGGCAAGCACAATGGGACACATGAATAAGAGAAGGTTTGGCGTTAAAGTGCAAACGATCAGGAGGACTTTCTGGGCCAGCCTCCCTCTCCCCAGGCTCATACAGTGGATACAACTGAAGCATGTTCTGCTTCATGGCCTGAGCACAGTCTGCTGTGTGAGGGTGTGTGTGTGTGTGTGTGTGTGTGTGTGTGTGTGTGTGTGTATGTGTGGATGGATCACACACCATATGGAAGTCTTCAGTGGGTGAAGTCAGCTATTGTAGTGCAGTGATGTATGAGTCTCTCTAATGGATTGTTGTCGACGTGTAGAATTTGTTGTATATATTGTGCCACTCTGGCTCTCACTCTCCATTGTTTGCTTCACATGAGTACGGACACTGTGATATCACCCAGCATGGAGGACATGAGGAAGCCTGAACATTTTAAACAAAACTTTAAAAAGTCATATTAAGCACAAGATTCAAATATCGTCTGTTTGAGTCAAACTGTCACTTCCAATTACTGTGTCTCCCACACAACCAATTTAGAACTTAGTACTCAGTGCCAGGATGATAAAAGTGTTTCACTTCTGAATCCAAAATATCACTGTAGTCAGTTGTGGTAACAAATGGCCGCCTGGTGATACTGTAATTCCAATATTGACTCTTTTTTGTTCTGTTTTGGTCTCCACCAACTTCTGTGAAAACTCTGGATCTTTAGCTGCTAGATTCACTATATTCACTAGCTAGCTGCTAACTTTGTCTGTCTTTGGTGCAGAGCAGGTAGCGTGCTGAGTCCAGTCTGTGGTTTGGTGCAGGCAACAAAAGCCCTTTGGTTAAGATGGTTATTGTCAGTTAAAATTTGAATAAACACATTGGGACATTTTTTGTGTTAAACCAGACCATGATCTTTGCCTTAACTAAGTGCTGCCAGTGCCTAAACAAACCATTAAAAAAAATCCAGCTAACAATAAGTAACAATGCTGTAGCCACCATAAATGGAGGGTGTATTGCAAGATGAGATAATTTGTTGAAAAACAAATGAAATACGTTGTCAGTGAACATTTTACTGATGCATTCAGTATCAACATTTACTTTAATAAACAACATTTCCCCATTATGTTAACACAGAACGGAATGTGGTCAGCATTTAGTTTCCTTCTTTCCAAAATGTACTGGTTGTTGCAAAAAGCCTGTATAAATGTAATATCTGTTTCACATACATAACCAAACACAACATCACCAAACAGAAAGACAAATACTACAAACATATATTTGTTTTGTTGTTTGGTTAAATACAAGGCAGGTTTATGAATATTAAGAGCATCCGGCAGGTCAGAAAATAAAATGGATCATGTTATGAACGGGTCTTGGTATTGGATTAGTAAAAGCACAAAGTGAGCACAAACCTCCCATTCACTTCTTTTCAAATGCTGTTGATTCTATCTGATCAAGGTGTTTCTAATTCCATGTCTGTGAATTTGCT